AACGTGTAGATTTAGCTACTTTGACGCTTTTAAAATGCAACTTTTACACGTCAAAAGCAATTTTAACACATTAAATGCAACATTAACGCGTTTAAAGCAACTTTAACAAGTTAAAAACCACTTTAACGCCTTAAAAGCTACTTTAACGCGTTAAAAGCAACTTTTACGTGTTAAAAACCACTTTAACGTGTTAAAAGCTACTTTAACGCGTTAATAGCAACTTTAACAATGTTTTAACGCGTTCAACGATGTTTTATACTTTATGTTAAATGATGTTTTTACGCGTTAAATGATGTTTTTGCGCGTTTAAGTAATGTAACGTAGTAATGTAATTGTGTATAATTTAACGCGTTAAATGTGATTCATTTTGACACATGTGGCTAGTGCAACAGGTATTTTATCGCGATTAACGTCATTTTTCACTTACGGCTTAAATGTCAAACTTAATCATTGCAAAGTTTAACGTGATAAACATATTGATTTCTTAACGCGTTAAAATCTTTATCGCGTTAAATGTTAACCCGTTACTTTATCGGGTTTTTGACAGGAATGGCCTTTCATAGAGGTCCAACCCTGAACAGTTGGGGCAAAAATGAACACAATATTCAAGCTTGATACAGGTCTGAATTTGGATTGTAATTAAATATTTGACATATTATAGGTTTCTGAATAAATGTAGTCAAAGAACTTGAAATTGGTTATATGAATTGAATTTATATTCAATTAAAGATTTCTTGCTGTTGTGCAATACACTGTGCTGTTGCACAATATTTAGTAAATGTGTTGTCAGACTATAAACAAACAATAACTTCTCAATGTTATATTAGAAATTTATAAAAAAAACTAAAGGGAGGTTATCTTAATAGATATAAATCAGTCATCAAAGTTTAATGAAAACTGCTCTAAGCACCTTAAGGATATTGTCCAAAAACTTGAAAATCAACCCTTTTTTGTGAATAAAATCTTATAACTCAGAAACGTAAAATCTTAAATTTATAAAAATCAAAAGGGAGCTTACAACAATAGATATAAACAATTTACCAAAGTTTCATAAAAAATGCTGAAAGCATTTTTGAGTTATTGTCTGAAAACTGGAAAATTCCCCTTTTTGTAATGAATAAAACCCCATAAATCAGAAACATATAGTCTAAAATTTAAAAAAATCAAAAGGGAGCTCATGTCGATAGAAATAAACAATTCACCAAAGTTTCTTGCAAATTGGTGAAATTATTTTTGAGTTATTATCCAAAAACTTGAAAATCCCCCCTATTTTAATGAATAAACCCCATAACTCGGAAATGTAAAATCTAAAATTTATAAAATTCTAAAGGGAGCTTACATCAATACTGAATAGATATAAACAATTCACCGAAGTTTCATAAAAAATGCTGAAAGCATTTTTGAGTTATTGTATTCCCCTTTTTGTAATGAATAAAACCCCATAAATCAGAAACATATAGTCTAAAATTAAATAAAATCAAAAGGGAGCTCATGTCGATAGAAATAAACAATTCACCAAAGTTTCTTGCAAATTGGTGAAATTATTTTTGAGTTATTGTCCAAAAACTGGAAAATCCCCCCTATTTTAATGAATAAAACCCCATAACTCAGAAATGTAAAATCTTAAATTTTTTAAATTCTAAAGGGAGCTTACATCAATACTGAATAGATATAAACAATTTACCGAAGTTTCATAAAAAATGCTGAAAGCTGATAGCATTTTTGAGTTATTGTCCGATAACTGGAAAATCCCCCTTTTTGTAGTGAATAAAACCAAATAAATCAGAAACGTATGGTCTAAAATTTAAAAAAATCAAAAGGGAGCTCATGTCGATCGAAATAAACAATTCACCAAAGTTTTCTGCAAATTGGTGAAATTATTTTTGAGTTATTGTCCAAAAACTGTAAAATCCCCCCTTTTTTAATGAATAAAACCCCAAAACTCGGAAACAATAAATCCGAAATTTATAAAAAACGAAAGGGAGCTCACGTCAATAGATATAAACAATTCACCAAAGTTTCATGCATATTGGTTAAAGCGCTTTTGAGTTAATATCCGACATGTTGACGACGGACGGACAGACTGACGGTCAACGGTATACCATAATACGTCCCGTAAACGGGCGTATAAAAAGTGGGCAAGATTATTGGGTTTTTTTTAAACAAGGTACGACCAGAATTTTTTTAAGGCAACAATCAGGGCCAGAATTTGTTTTTCTCTAAAATATCTCACAACCCCCCACCAAAAGCAAATGGTCTGTACCTAAGACTTTTAATCTATCTAGAGATTACTGACTAGGGATCATTATTCATCAATGTTACTAATGGGGTGGGGCGTGTGGGGTTTAGCATGTTTTCGTAGGTAAATATAGCTGTGGAACTTTTTTTTATCATGTGAGTCATGTGAGTGTAATAGAGTATTACCTTCTGTTGGGTGGAATTGTGAAAAAGGAGTCAATACGTCCTAGCTCCATCCTTTGTCGCTTTGAAGGCATCATACTTGTCATCCTCAGCCTTAGCAAATGTGTTACTGTAGTTTAAATTTTAAAATGACCGAGTTATGTTATTTGGATAAACTGGTAAAGTCCACGGTAGCCAGCGAATCACTTGACTTTGACATAATCAATAATATATTACACGTAAATACGAGCCAACAATATCTCTATAAGTAAAAATAAGTGCAAATAGAAAGGGGGTCGTACGCCCTCTACGCCCCCATCTGGATCTGCCACATGGTGTGCAAGTGGTCAGGGTTTTGATTTCTATCAATATTTGCTCTTTTGGGAGATATTTGAACTTAAATTTTGTTTTTAAATTAATCTGATAATAAGGCAGGCATCCCTTGAGTCTCTTTATTGTCTCCATGTAGGATTTTTAAGATCTTTTAACATTTCTACAAGTATTTTCTAGTTTCCTTTCTTTTAGTACTGCCAATTCATAAATTATTGCTAGGTTTTTATAGATGCGCCTGGGAGAGTATTGCAATATCTTAAGAACTAGCATTCTGATATCTGATGTATGTCCTAAAGTCAATAGCCCATGACTAAGGGGGCAGGAACAATTAACTCCATGGGAATGAAATATGCTGATGCTTATGGTTCATCATAACAAATGGACAAATATGGCCGTATTTTCACCTCAAAAACTACTCTGTGTACAGGCTTACCTGTGCAGATTGGAAAGTTTTAAGGCCTGGCATCCGCTAGATATATAAAAGTTAAATGCATTTTGTGTTTCAGAAAGATAAAATCGTTTTTGCATTTTGATGGGCATTTTTATTTCCTACCTGCAGAAGGTGTAATAATAAACAAAGACCTGAATTGCATTTGATACTGTCCACTCAGTTACTACCTTTAACTCATCTAAAGATATGTAGATATCTATTGTCTGTCTATTGTCCATGCCAATCAAGGACAATCAATACAATACAAACCAGTTGTCACCTGAGAGGGAGCATCTCAAAGTTGTATCCCAACTTAGTTTATTTCACACCTTCTGCAGGAATGAAAAAAATGTCCATTAAAATGCAAAACAGATTTTATCTTTCTGATATACACAATACATTTAACTTTTATATATCTAGTGGATGCCAGGCCTTAAAACTTCCCAAACTGCTCAGGTAAGTCTATACACAGAGTAATTTTTGAGGTGAAAATACGGCCATATTTGTCCATTTGTTATGATGAACCTTAAACAACTGCATACCAAAAATTACTGATTTACCATTAGTTGTCCTTCTTAGAGTTATCTAATCACAAACTTTAACATGAAACTATGCAAAAGATTTAGTCAATAAACAAAGACTGAGAGGAAAGGGCTAAGCAATCTGCATGGAAATATGATTTGTCAATGCTTATACAACTGCAAAACCAAATATCAAGTGATTCCCCTTTAACTGATCTAATTATATATAATTACAAACTGTACCTTGACCTATAATGGTTTACTTTTATAAATTGTGACTTGGATGGAGAGTTGTCTCATTGGCACTCAAACCACATCTTCCTATATCTATTTATCAAATTGTTTATTATGCAGCATACTACTTTTTGACTTCTCAAAGTTTAAAAACAACTAAATGTCCAGCTATGAACCTTGGAAATGACGCAAATGTCCTTATTTGCAACAATCTGACACCTAAAATGCAACATACATTACAGTCAAACCAGTTTTAAGAGACCACTTAAGGGAGAGCCAAAAAGTGGTCTCTTAAGACAGGTGGTCTTTTAATACAGGTTCAATTTATATGAAATGTACTACAGAGGGATCTAAAATTGGTGGTCTTTTAACACAGGTTTTTGCTTAATACAGGTGGTCTCTTAAGCAGGTTTGACTGTAACTCCTTTGGAACACAATTCTGTAACTGGATCCAGGAAAAAGCTGATACAAAGGAAATATGGCATATTTCACTTTGATTAACTGTCTATCGAAAGATTTATATTTGGGGACTTCTAATTAATTTGAATTTGCCTCAATGATTTCTCATTCTAATGAAAAAACTATTCTTAAAAGGTTTCAACTCCCTCACAACATGCACAATCAAATATATTTTAGCTGACTATGCGGTATGGGTTTTGCTCATTGTTGAAGACCATGCAGTGACCTACAGCTGTTATCTTCTATCTTATTTGGTCTCTGGTGAAATGTTGTCTCATTGGCAATTATACCACATCTTTTTTTATTAAAGTTACCATTGAAGATTTTGTCTATTCTTTTGATATCTGTTTTGGTCTTACAGCTCCTTACATTTATATCTACTTACACATACTTGGCTTTCAATTGTTTAGATTTGTGTATTCCTGATGAAGTTAAATCCAAAAAAAGTGCTTCAGAAGCTTAAATGTTATAAAATGATTTTTTTATTTCGTTTGGATAAAAAATAATGCATTACAGTATACACCCATGAAACACAGTACCATTAGTACAACATCTTGTACTGTTTTGCTGTCTAATTGAGGAGTAATCAGCCAAAGATAAATGATCCATGCAATAAACATACAAAAGACTTATATTTTCCTTTAATGCGACATCTGACCATACATGTACAACACACATAAAAAAGACAAATGATTGTGATACATTTTGCTGTATTTTTGTAACTGTCTCTACACTTCACATTGATCAGATCAGTTTAAACCTTGTCCATGAACAAATATTGCTGCCTCCAAAACATTGAATTTTATTATTGTTCAAGTTTTTGCACCCTCTGTTTTCATTGATGGCAGTGTGTAAGGAGCTCCTAAGAATTGATCTGCTATCCTGCCTGCTTCTCTCAGTGCACTCATGAATGCTCCATGTACTGTTGCAGGATAATTTCGTATCGTATGTTCTCCAGCAAAGAAAAGTCGAGGAAGTGTACCAGCTTGTGGAGATACAGGCGTTGCCATTAGATCATAGTCATTTCCTGAGGATAAATAAATAATAAATCTTGATTCCTGTTTTTTTTTAATTTTCAGGCTTCAAAAAGAGCATATATTTAAGTGCTGTATAATTTTTGTTGGGAATTTACAAATCTTGTTCTTAAATATATGTTTCACTTCAGATAACCCAGAGAAGAAAAGTAAATTAAATTCAGGAACATGGACCAATTATGTTTGACTAAAGTACTATTCTGACATAAGTTAGATGTTTCTAACAGACGGACAGCAATTCAAAATATTATTTACATATGAGAGTAGATTTACATTTAATTTGAGAACAGAACATATGTTATCACATATATATATATATATGATGGTGAAGATCAAATGTTTTTTGGCAGTTATTGTCTAAGAACTATCTTCAATGAACAAGTATCTACAAAATTAATCAAGTATCAATTTCATTATGTCATTTCAGGATCTGCCTTTCCTCTGAATACAGAATGGTAAATTGTTCTTGCAAAATAGTTTGGGTACATCTAAATACACATGATTCATTTTTCTTGACTAGTAATTTTAAATTTTAATTGTTGCTAGTCTAAAATTTTCAAATATTTCAAATAATTACATATATTTCTGAGAATAATTGCATGCTTTTCTGAGAAAAAAACATGTACTTCTAATGTAAACAGAATGAACAATATTGTACAATGTGTAACGATAAATTAATTGAAGATGAGTGTAATTTTATTTTAATATGCAAGAAATCTGAAGATATATGTAAAAGATATATAAAACAGTACTATTGGAGAAATCCTTCAGCTTTAAAACTTGTTCAGTTATGTAAAAGAACTGAATAATTTTTTGAAATATTTGTTTGCTGCCGAAAAACTTTGTAATTCATAAATGTTGTGTGTCATGTTCTGATACTGTTATTAAACAATAGAATATCAATTTTATTCGCTATCTATTACTGTTAATATATGTATGTAAGTATTAAAATTTGATGTATATTTTGTTATATCCCTTTTTTAATAGCTGGATTGCTTTTGGAAATAAAGTATTATTATTCTACTTCTGAGAATAATTGCATATTCTTCTTTAATGTATAATTTAATGTACTTCTGAGATGGTAACTGTAGTGTCTCTTTCACAAAAAAAAATCATACAACTCTGGAAATCTTAGTTACACTGAAATGTTTCTAATTTTCCAACATTCTTTCTCTTGAAATTTTTTTTGAAATTGATCACAGATGCTTAGGAATAATATCTTACCAGATGAACCAGCTGCCACATAGGAATAAGATCCCCTGGACCAGGGATCAGCTCTCCATCTGGTTACCAGTGTCTCCTTTGGCTGTGGTACTGCATTATTACCAAAGATTCCTTTTAAAACTGCAATAGATCTCCCTACAATGACATCATCACTGACATTTTCCATAATGGCTGCTGCTTCCCCAGCAACCAAGGCTAGTAAAACTGGTGCCTTGTAGAGATTCCAGAAAAGGAAAAGTTCTCCACGACTGGCTGTTGTACTACCAACATGTCCGAATAAATTAGCACTAGGATCCCAGAATACTCGATCAAAACAAAGCACTACCTAAAAAAAGATTTAACTCAAAAGTTAAATATTGTCAAACTAACTATTCATGGAGCATGTGGAGTGGTATTTGCAATAATTTTCAAAAGTGACATGCACATAACAATGTATGAACTTTTAATAGAGAAATCTAAAGCATTTAAGAGCAACTTTTTAGTGGATTCATTATACATCTCAAAACCCTGTTTAACCTGAGATCAATCAGAATGAAATAGTTCATGGGTCTTTCAATTATTGTCAAATTCTCATAGACAAGCTATTCATTCAGGCATAACATCATTAAAATCAACAAGATGTATAGTGAGCTCACTTAAAATAACCTTTTGAGGGAAGATATGATAAAGAAATTCTTTTTCTTTTTAAAATTACTAAGGCAATAAATATCAGTGCAAAGGGCACAATATACACCTTAAGTAACTGTTAATCCTGAATTATTGTGTGCATTTATTACTGCAATTTTTGAAGAATGGACAGAAATGTGAGATTTATTATTGCGATTTCAGGAAAAACTGAATACAGATTTATGTAACATATATCCGAATGCAAATTCTTATTATTGCGATACTCACCCAGTCGCATTATTCGCATTAGTAAAAACGTCGCAATAATTTCTGAATTTACAGTATACAAACACAGGTCATGAACAACTTAATAAAATAGTAATCTAGTAATTTTTTCACTATTAAATCCAATTTAACACTGTAAAATCAGAAATTTTTGCTTGGTTTTTATTATTAATGCGAATAATGCAACAAGGTGATAATCCTAATAATAAGACCTCCATTCTGATATTTGATATATATATCTGTATAGAGATTCTCCTGAAATTGCAATAATTAATCTTGCATTTTTGTTTATTCTTCAAAAATTGCAATAATAAATGCAAGCCATTCTTTCTGAATTTACAGTACTTTACAAAGAAAAAAACATGTCAAAAAGATTACACATACTTTAAAATCACCAAACTGTTATATCAAATTTCACTTAAACTGGTGATAATTGGTCAAAACAAATTTCAGTTTAATAGCATTTGACATTTAAGAAAAATATTATCTTTTCCTAGTCTAAGTCCCATAATCCTACAATTATTATCACACATTTGAAATTAATTAAATTATTGAGACATTCAAACCATCATTCAAAATAATCTGGTATACATTGCAATGAAACTGTAGGAAACTAGTCATGAAAATTTCGAGCAAATATCATGAAACAAATGCCTATCTATTTATGTATATATCAGAGCTCACACAATTTGGAATCATAGGGAGAAGTGCTTGTTTGCTCGAGATGCCATGCTAGATATTGTTTGGTTGTATAATGACATATCTTGCCATTTGTGTCCTACTTATTTAATTCTTTTTTGTATAGTTCAGATTCAATTTTATTTCATCCATAAAAATATTATTACAGTACTAGTAACAGTTTTCACAGTTTATGTCTTAATATGTCATTTATAATTACACAATTATATTTTTCCACTTGTCACAAACTACCAACTACTGGTAAATATCTAGCACTGTTGCATATACTGGTAAATATCAAGCACTATTGAATATACAGGTAAATATCTAGCATGGTTGCATATACAGGTAAATATCTGGAACTGTTGCCTATTTACAGAAAACAAAAAATTCATAGAAAAAGAAATTATCATTTATTAATTAAACTTATTTTAAAATTATTTTATCAACTAGATATCATTGAGATGGAAGCCATCTCTGTGGGCCCCGCTGTGAATAATGTGTGGTAAATTTTTTTTATCTTTATCATTGGACATGGGGTTGTCAACTGAAACCAAAGTTTTTGACCTTGACCTTTGAACTAGAAAGTTGTACATAAATTATGATACACCCCCTGGTGTTGGTTTATATACATGTCAAGTATAAACTTTGAAATCATAACGGTTCTCAAGATATAGAGCGGACACGATCTTTACCATAGGACATGGGGTTGTCAACTAAAACCAAAGTTTTTGACCTTGACCTTTGACCTAGAAAGTTGTACATACATCATGACACACCCCCTGGTGTTGGTTAATATACATGTCAAGTATAAACTTTGAAATCATAACGGTTCTCAAGATATAGAGCGGACACGATCTTTACCATAGGACATGGGGTTGTCAACTAAAACCAAAGTTTTTGACCTTGACCTTTGACCTAGGAAGTTGTACATACATTATGACACACCCTCTGGTGTTGGTTAATATAAATGTCAAGTATAAACTTTGAAATCATAACAGTTCTCTAGATATAGAGTGGACACGATCTTTACCATAGGACATGGGGTTGTCAACTAAAACCAAAGTTTTTGAACTTGACCTTTGACCTAGGAAGTTGTACATACATCATGACACACCCTCTGGTGTTGGTTAATATACATGTCAAGTACAAGGCTTCCAAAACGGTCATATATGCCGGACATTTGTATAATGTCCGGTAAAAGTCAGGCTGGGCAAAGCATGAAACGGTCATCTACTTTTTAGTTTTCAAGGCTTTAAGAGACGGTCATTTTAAACTTAATTCGCGATCTTTTTGACCCAACATTTTGCCTTTAACAGCCCCACATTTCCTGTCATAAAAGTGACATGATCATTAAGTACTATCAAAACAACCCCTACTTTAATACCTTCTCATTTTAATCAAGGCTAATTAGTTGTCGAACAGCTGAAATTTACCTGTTCAGGTGACAGGTAAACTATTTTGAACCGGACATTGATCGTTCTATTCAAAGTTATTTTCTTACATTTCAGCAGTTTGCATCTAATTAATTAAGTCAAAAAGATTTAAATTATCAGAAATACGTTTACAAATATGATTTGATCAAAAAGTTAATAAAATGCTCCGCAGGGCGCAGCTTGATACGACCGCAGAGGTCGAACCCTGAACAGTTGGGGCAAGTATGGACACAACATTCAAGCTTGATACAGCTTTGCATTTGGATTGCGATTAAATATTTGACACAGCATAGGTTTCTGACACAGAATGAATGTGGTCTAAGAACTTAAAAATTTTAAATTGGACATTCACCTATTATGGTCTAATATCCAAAATCTAAATACATGGTTAGATTCAGCATATCAAAGAACCACAAGAATTCAATTTTTGATGAAATCAAACAAAGTTTAATTTTGGACCCTTTTGACCTCAATGTGGACAAAGTTGATAACAGGGCCCCAAAATCAAAAATCTAAATACATGGTTAGATTCAGCATATCAAAGAACCCCATATATTCAATTTTTGTTGAAATCAAACAAAGTTTAATTTTGGACCCCGATTGGACCAACTTGAAAACTGGGCCCATAATCAAAAATCTAAATACATGTTTAGATTCAGCATATCAAAGAACCCTAAGAATTCAATTTTTGTTAAAATCACACTAAGTTTTATTTTGGACCCTTTGGACCTTAATGTAGACCAATTTGAAAACGGAACCAAAAATTAAGAATCTTAATACACGGTTAGATTCGGCATATCAAAGAACCCAAATAATTCAATTTTTGATGAAATCAAACAAAGTTTTATTTTGGACCCTTTGGACCTCAATGTGGACCAATTTAAAAACGGGGCCCAAAATCCAAAAACTAAATACACGGTTAGATTCAGCATATTAAAGAACCCCAAGAATTCAAGAATAAAACCCCATTGAAATTGGTCAAGAAATAAGCAATTTATACGAAGTATCTTCTTTTGCACAATACTGCGCAATTAAATATTTCTTGCTATTGCGCAATACTGTACAATTGACAATTTCTTGCTATTGCGCAATATTGTGCTATTGGATATTTCTTGCTATTGCGCAATACTGTGCAATTGAAGATTTCTTGCTATTGCACAATACTGTGCAATTGAAGATTTCTTGCTATTGTGCAATACTGTGCAATTGAAAATTTCTTGCTATTTATACAATACTTATTATATAATAATTTACACATCCTGTTTGGTGTGTATCTCCTACCATATCATTATTATTTGCTTTTAAATATAAATCAAAAATAACCAACTTAAAATGGAAAATTTTAAAAGAAAAAAAAAAGGAAAAAAAAAAAAATCCCCCCCCCAAATTTTTTGAACCCCCTTATGATTCATCACCCAAAAACTTAATCCTCACCTTCCCTTTGTGGTATGGTACCTTGCAGTACAATTTCAGAGAGATCCATACACTTGAACACAAGTTATTGTCTGGAAACTAGAAAAATGTGTTTTTTGGCCCCTTTTTGGCCCCAAATTCCTAAATGTTTAGGGCAATTACCCCCAAACTCAAACCCAGCTTTCCCTTTGTGATATGGAACCTTGTAGTACAATTTCATAAAGATCCATACACTTACACACAAGTTATTGTCCTGAAACTAGAAAAATGCTTGTTTTTTGCCCCTTTTTGGCCCCTAATTCCTAAAATATTGAGGCAATTACCCCCATCATCAATCCCAGCCTTCCCTTTGTGGTATGGTACCTTGCAGTACAATTTCAGAGAGATCCATACACTTGAACACAAGTTATTGTCTGGAAACTAGAAAAATGCTTATTTTTGGCCCCTTTTTGGCCCCCAATTCCTAAACGTTTCGGCAATTACCCCCAAACTCAATTCCAGCTTTCCCTTTGTGATATGGAACCTTGTAGTACAATTTCAGAAAGATCCATACACTTACACACAAGTTATTGTCATGAAACTAGAAAAATGCTTCTTTTTTGCCCCTTTTTTGGCCCCTAATTCCTAAAATTTTGAGGCAATTACCCCCAAAATCAATCCCAGCATTCCTTTTGTGATATGGAACCTTGTGGTACAATGTCAGAGAGATCCATACACTAACACACAAGTTATGTCTGGAAGTTACAAAAATGCTTATTTTTGGCCCCTTTTTGGCCCTTAATTCCTTTACTGTTGGTACCATAACCCCCAAAATCAATCCCAACCTTCCTTTTGTGGTATTGAACCTTGTGGTAAAATTTCATAGAGATCCATTCACTTAAACTAAAGTTAGAGTGCGAAAACCAATGTGTCTTCGGACGACGCCGGACGACGCCAGACGACGACGACGACGACGACGACGACGACGACGACGACGACGACGCCGGACGACGACGACGCCAACGTCATACCAATATACGACCACAAAAATTTTTTTGCGGTCGTATAAAAAGGTGAAAATGAAAAATCGTCATAACCACGTTGTTTGAACTAGAGACATGTCTCTGTTAGAACTAGTACACGTGTGCGCAGGTGTGAAATTTAATTATGCATCCTAATTTCTTCAAAAAATGCTTAAATTGTCATTGATACCTTTATCTCACGTTTATTTCGAATATTTTCTTCAAGAAATAACGTAGAAAGAGCTACTTCCACTCATTCATGCTTTGCAAACGTACACAGAATTTACGTATCCGTCTCTGGTCCATGTTTTACCATTGTCAAGATAACATCCGGTATATTAGATTTAAAAACGAAAGTAAAGTTTTTGACAACGTAATTTTGCACAAATAAAGAGTCTAAGGCAGATATAAGTACGCTGATGTTGCACACTTCGAATGATGCACTGCCAATTTAACAGTTTCCTTCAGAACTTCGAATTTGAATCAAAGAAAGTTTAATATCGTTTTTGTCGAGCCTTCGACTTTTGTCGAAAAAGCGAGACATAGCGATCCTACATTCCGTCGGCGTCGGCGTCGTCGTCGTCGTCGTCGTCGTCCACAAATATTCACTCTGTGGTTAAATTTTTTAAATTTTAATAACTTTCTTAAACTATCCTGGATTTCTACCAAACTTGGACAGAAGCTTGTTTATGATCATAAGATTATATTCAAAAGTAAATTTTGTAAAAAAAAAATTCCATTTTTTCCGTATTTTACTTATAAATGGACTTAGTTTTTCTGCCAGGAAACATTACATTCACTCTGTGGTTAAAGTTTTTGAAATTTTAATAACTTTCTTAAACTATCCTGGATTTCTACCAAACTTGGAAAGAAGCTTGTTTATGATCATAAGATAGTATCCAGAAGTAAATTTTGTAAAAAAAAAAATCCATTTTTTCCGTATTTTACTTATAAATGGACTTAGTTTTTCTGCCAGGAAACATTACATTCACTCTGTGGTTAAAGTTTTTGAAATTTTAATAACTTTCTTAAACTATCCTGGACTTCTACCACACTTGGACAGAAGCTTGTTTATGATCAAAAGCTAGTATCTAGAAGTAAATTTTGTAAAAAAAAAATTCCCTTTTTTCTGTATTTTACTTATAAATGGACTTAGTTTTTCTTCCAGTCAACATTACATACAGTCTGCAGTTTAAGTTTTTAAAACATTTATAAGATTCATAAATTATCCTGGATTTTTACCAAACTTGGACAGAAGCTACTTACAATCAAAAGATATTATAGAGAGGAATATTTTTATTATTTTTTTTCCTCATTTTTGTTGAGCCTGCGATTAACAGCAAAAGTAGGCGAGACACTGGGTTCCGCGGAACCCTTACGAATTTTTTTTTATTGTCAATATCATTGGGATGGCCAACTCGGCAACTGATTACCATAATTGCCTTTTGTTTGTTTAGTCTTAAGGGATTAAAATCGGGATGATATATAAAATGTCCAGCTGGCTAAAAATAATTTTGGAAGCCCTGGTCAAGTATAAACTTGCAAATCATAACGGTTCTCAAGATATAGAGCGGACACGATCTTTACCATAGGACATGGGGTTGTCAACTAAAACCAAAGTTTTTGACCTTGACCTTTGACCTAGGAAGTTGTACATACATTATGACACACCCTCTGGTGTTGGTTAATATACATGTCAAGTATAAACTTTGAAATTATAACGGTTCTCTAGATATAGAGCGGACTCAATTTGTTACGGACGGACAGACGAACAGACAGACGGACAGACAGACGGACGGAAGGACAGACTGATCACTATAGGGCGTCCGCCATTCGGCGGGGCCCTAATTAAACTTGTTTTAAAATTATTTATCAATTAAACTTATTTTAAAATTATTTCTCATTAAAAATGTATAAATTTAACAAATTTAAGCAACTTACAATGCATTTGCAGTAAAATATATACTTGTAACTAAGGAGATCTAACAAAATGTATATTAATGCATGTTGAATGCATATTTTTCACTTTTTGGTTTCATTATTCTGCTGTCAGTTGAGCCATGTATGTATTTGTCTCTAGTTATTATTGTAAGAATGCAGATTGCAGTCACAGTTGGTCTGCCTCCAACCATGATAACTGGTAGTATAAATTTTTAAAAAGAAGTGCTATGATCAAATAAAGTACCATTACATTGTAGTAATAAAATAAAAAATTACCAAAAGTTTTCCAACCCCAACATGCCCAAGACAACTAATTATTATAATGTAGTAAATTGAAATAAATGGGGAATGTGTCCATGGTACACAGATGGTGCCCCCGCTTGCATATAACGTTATAAAGGGATATAACTCAAGAACTGTAAAAGTGAAGATACCAAAATTTGTACTTGATCTGAGTTTTGTGGTAATAAGCATTGTGCATAAGTTTCATAACATTTGGTTGAGGCAAACTAAAGTTAGAGAACAGAAACAAATATTTCAGGAATTTTTCCTTTTGTAAAGGGGCATAACTCTAGAACGGTATAAGTGACGCCATCAAAATTCACACTTGATCTGTGTTTTGTGGTAATAAGCATTGTGTATAAGTTTCATAACATTTGGTTGAGGAAAACTTAAGTTAGAGAATGGAAACGAAAAATTCAACAATTTTTCCAATTTTAAAGGGGCATAACTCTAGAACAGTAAAAGTGACACCACCAAAATTCAAACTTGATCTGTGTTTTGTGGTAATAAGCATTGTGTATAAGTTTCATAACATTTGGTTGAGGCAAACGAAAGTTAGAGTACGGAAACCAATTTTGGGACGTACGTACAGACGGACAAGGGTAAAACTTAATGCCCCCTCCGCTACGGCGGGGGCATAAAAATTTGAGGCATACCTGAGTTAGTCAGCAACATGCTTACCCTATACAGAGGATAGACTATAATAGAATGAATCGGCCAAATTTTCAGCTTTCAGATTCCTTTTCAAACTTACTTTATTAAGGTTCCCAAATCCCATTCTCTGTAAAGCTGCTGATTTCCACTCTGGTAATGCTGGCTGGAACTGGACACTGTTTAGACTGTTACCCCTCAAACATTCCTTCAGTACTCCTAATGGTAGGGTACATAATACAGCATCACCTTTCAGCGTCTGAGAATTTGTATTGTTTTTAGCATTGCTGACTGTTACTTCTACACCTAAAACAACAAATAAAACACATGAACCAATAAGGGTATCATCAGGTTCAGATTATAAAACCCATGCCAAATAAAAAAACAAGCAATCTTTTGATTCTGTATGGTCAATTAATTGTCCTTCTTTATAAATATCTTCAAATTTTATTTATAAAAATGTAATTTTTTTCAAAACTCAAACTGATTATATTGTCATCATGATTTTTATATAATTTTTTTTTAACAAAAAACAATTTTAATTCTGTGCTTATATAAGTATAGCAAATTTACAAATTATATAACTGTTTTATTATTGCTAAACACGAAATAAGGTATCGATTGAAAATTTATTGTAATATTTCACATTTCAATGAATGAAATAATCTTAAAGCAGTTTTAAAATAAAATAAACTGCTTCGCTAAGCACAACTGGATATGCCCGCAGAGGTCCAACCCTGAACAGTTGGGGCAAAAATGGACACAATATTCAAGATTGATACCGGTCTGAATTTGGATTGTAATTAAATATTTGACATATTATAGGTTTTTGAATAAATGTAGTCAAAGAACTTGAAATCGGTTACCGTAGAAAGGCTTGTATAGTCCGCGGTTTTATTCTCCAAAATTGGACCTTCCAGACGGGGTGCGGACTATAGAGTACAATAAGCAAGAAATAAGAGAAAAATTTCAATTTCGCGGGAGAGGTGGTTTGTTTACGTTCCGCCATCTTTGTTATTTATATTGTAGAGGGTGCTCTTATCATTTTTCAAACTAATAATTTTAACTCATCCATATTAATAAGTTATTTCTATTCAATATCAAATTAATACTGATAAATATAAAAACTAAACCTTTCATTACAAATTTCTCGTTTCTTTTCAATGCATTGGTTGAAATAAACTGGTATCTGCTTGATTGAAACGATACAAACATAGTGAAAAAGACAACCGTAAACCAGCTTAGAATTTGTAAACTACAAAACGTAATCGGTTATTGTTCGTTCCGTTTTGGTGTTTCATACTGACTAATATGGTTTGTATTAGCTTAAGACCCTTCAAACATTAATGTGATAGATATATTAAAGACTGTTTTACAAAAGGATGGAACTGTTTTACTTTCAAAGTCGTATTATAGTGATATCTGTTATGTACGGATTTTGACTCTCACCGGTTAATTTCTTCTTTTACATGTGCTTTTTAAACTTCCTGTTTAAACATACACAAGTTTCTAAATTGTTTTTTCAGTGAATTAAACTTATTTTAACAATCATGAAGCGTTCTAGAATCATTTACAAGCAGTTTCAGCTTCTGTTTGATGACGGAAAACAGGTTTTTCCAAGAAAATACCGCAAACGACCGCACAGGATTTGAAATTACCGGAGTATCATTAGACCTTTTCTAACAGTTACAAAAAGTTTTTTTACCTAAAATTTCGTGGGGAGAAGGGGGTGCGGACTATGTACCAGTGCGAACTATACAAGCCTTTCTACGGTATATGAATTGAATTTATATTCAATTAAAGATTTCTTGCTGTTGTGCAATACACTGTGCTGTTGCGCAATACTTAGTAAATCTGTTGTCAGACTATAAACAAATAAAGTTCAATTAATTCTCAATGTCATATTAGAAATTTATGAAAATCAAAAGGGGGCTTACATCAATAGATATAAACAATTCACCAAAGTTTCATGAGAATTGCTGACAGCATTTTTGAGTTATTGTCAGAAAACTGGAAAATCCCCCCTTTTTAATGAACAAGAGTGCACATGCTGAAATGTCTCGCCTTCTTTACTAATCATTGATATTATGTTGATAGTTCTAAATATAAAGCTTTACTACAACTATCACATAAACTTAACATGATCCAAGAAAATGAGGTCAAGGTCATATAAACCAATCAAGAAATACATGTACACCTTACAATCATTCAATACACTAAATATAGTTGATCTATTGCTTATAGTTTCTAAGATACAAACTTAACCAAGAAAACTAAACATTGACTAATGAACCATGAAAAAGAGGTCAAGGTCAGATGAATCATGCCAGGCAGACATGTACAGCTTGCAATCCTTCCATACAACAAATATAGTTGACCTATTGCTTATAGTAATAGAAAAACAGACCAAAACACAAGAACTTAACACTGAGCTATGAACCGTGAAAATGAGGTCAAGGTCAAATAAAACCAGCCAGACTGACATGCACATCATAAAATATTTCCATACACCAAATATAGTTGACCTATTGCATATAGTATTAGAAAAAAAGACCAAAACTCAAAAATTTAACATTGACCACTGAACCATGAAAATGAGGTCAAGGTCAGAAGACACCTGCCAGCTTGACATGTACACCTTATAATCATTCCATACACCAAATATAGTAGACCTATTGCATACAGTATAAGAAAAACAGACCAAAACACAAAAACTAAACTATAACAACTGAACCATGAAAATGAGGTCAAGGTCAGATGACACCTGCCAGTTGGACATGTACACCTTACAGTCCTTCCATACACCGAATATGCTAGACCTATTGCTTCTAGTATCTGAGATATGGACTTGACAACCAAAACTTAACCTTGTTCACTGATCCATGAAATGAGGTCGAGGTCAAGTGAAAACTGTCTGACGGGCATGAGGACCTTGCAAGGTATGCATATACAAAATATAGTTATCCTATTACTCATTATAAGATAGAAATTAACATTACAAAAAATCTTAACTTTTTTTTCAAGTAGTCACTGAACTATGAAAAATGAGGTCACGGACAATGGACATGTGACAGTCGGAAACTTCATAACATAAGGCATCTATATACAAAGTATGAAGCATCCAGGTCTTCCACCTTCTAAAATACAAAGCTTTTAAGAAGTTAACTAACGCCGCAGCCGCCGCCACCGCCGGATCACTATCCCTATGTCGAGCTTTCTGCGACAAAAGTCGCAGGCTCAACAATATAAACCCATAACTCAGATATGTAAAATGTAAAATTTATAAAATTCTAAAGGGAGCTTACATCAATAGATATAAACAATTCATTAAAGTTTCATAAGAAATGCTGAAAGCATTTATGAGTTTTTGTCCGAAAACTGGATAATCCCCCTTTTTTTATGAATAAAACCCTGCAACTCGGAAACGTAAAATCTAAAATTTATAAAAATCGAAAAGGAGCTCATGTCAATAGATATAACCAATTCACCACAATTTCTTGCAAGTTGGTGAAAGCATTCTTGAGTTATTGTCCGAAAACTGGAAAATCACCCTTTTTTTAATGAATAAAACCCCACAACTCGGAAATGTAAAATCTAAAATTTATAAAAAACGAAAGGGAGCTCACGTCAATTGATATAAACAATTCACCAAAGTTTTATGCAAATTGGTTAAAGCGTTTTTGAGTTAATGTCTGACATGTTGACGACGGATGGACAGGCCGACAGACGGACAGACGGACGGGCAGACAGACGGACGGACAGACGGACAACGGCATACCATAATACGTACTGTAAACGGGCGTATAAAAATTCAGCAGGCATTTTTTTTATGATGATTTGCACTGCATTTTTTTCTTCATTTCAAATTATGTTACTGAAAATGAAAATGGAAATAAAACTATTTATTTATTTAACGAAAAAGGGCAAGTGTGATGAATTAAGAAAGATATAACATATTTTTCATTTAATCAAAATAACAAAAAAATAAAAAAAAATAATAAGCATGACAAGAAGGGCCATAAAAGTATTTAAATTCTAAATTTGTTAGTAAAATACTAGAAAAGCAATTAATTCTCATAGGCGTGTGCACATGTACCAAATCAGACATTTTTCTTATTTGTTCAAGTTAATACAAACCTGATGGTGTGTACACCACTTTCCTGACAGCTGTATTCAGTTTTATATCTAAACCTTCTGACAAGGCAACTGGAACACAGGAATATCCATTTCTCACTAAAGGTAGGAAAATAATAATTAAATGAGAAACATCAATGAAAGAAAAAAGAACAATCCACAAGCTTTGATTTACTTTACTTTCGGAATAACTAGCAAAAAATCAGTAGTAAAGCATGTAAAGGTTGATCTCTAAATGTCTCTTGGTTTATGTGTCTATATTGATCCTTTTATTCATATCTTGGAACTTTTAAAACTTCTTCATTCGCTAAAAATAAGAACCCTATTTCCATTCAAAAACATGACCATTTTCTAATGATGACAGTTAGATTTATTTAAAATATAAAACTACAATAACAATTTTATAAATGCATTCTAAAGGAAATCACTTTCTGCGAATGGACTTGTGAAGTGAAATCAACAATTTCTTTTCAAATCCTATTCCATTATTTTTAAAAGCGAAAGGCCAAAAAAATCAAAATTCAAAACCACACTGGGACTTAGGTGGATTTTTTTATTTCCCCTGTGGTGTCCTTTTTTTTTTCTTATTTTCCAAGTGAGGAAATGTTCTGATCTTTTACGTTTTTCTTGCACACTCTGAATTACAGTATAAATAGTTACTAGAAAATGAAATTATGAAACAGCATACATTTAAAACTCAGTAATGTTTTTCCTGTAAAGGACAAGGTGCAATAAGAGTCTTATTCAGACTTGGAACTTTTAGTTTCATATTTCAATTCATGTAATATATGTCAAAATATGCAATTTTTGTATTTTTTTGTTGAAAATTTAAATTTATGTTATCCTTCAATTGTAAAACCAATGTATACAACATTGCATATCAATTTTACCTTACAGTTTAAACTTTGTGCATACTAATTAACTATTTTATGCAAAATCACCTGATTTTGTATTTCTTCAATTTGTAGACCAAATAGGCCCATTAATCTGACCTTCAATAGCCATTTCAATGTCATCATTTAACCAATTTTTGGAAAAGTTCTAGTTGACATCAATTTACATATAACCAGTGTAAAAGGTTGGAGTGTTATTGGACAAAATGCTATGAATCATTTATAATTTGGCAATTGAATAGACAAAAACATAATACACCTATCAGAAATAATCCTAAAAATAGCTATACAATATTACTTTTGTTCAAAACTTGTTGTACCTGTTAAATGACTGCCAGAAAACTCAAAGTCATCATCTTGGTCCCAATGTTTTAATGACAATAACGTCAGCGGTGTAGCATTGGCAAACTCTAAATTAGCAAAATGCCAATCAAGAATTTGTCTGTCTCGTGTTGACAAATATACATCACTGAAAAAATAAATTTAATGTCATTTTGATGAAACATTAACAAAACATCAATTCAGGGCGTAGTGATACGTGAAATTCTTCATTTTTTCATATCTAAATTACTATAGCAACATGTGGTGCATTATTTGTCCTTATGGCAATGTGTGGTACAACAAAAAAGTATTTTAAAACAAAAACAATTCCACTTTTGTTTATAACAAAGTTCCTCTTCTTGATTGAGAGACCATCTTGAATATGAATGTAGAAACAAAAAAAATATCCTATGAATCATGTCAAATACATATCATTGATGTAGCCGGCATATAAATGATGCATAAAACACTAAACTATTCAAAATATTATACTGTAAATTCAGAAATTATTGAAGGTTTTTATTAATTCGACTACTTGAGTAAAGCAATAATAAAAACTTGCATTCTGATATCAACTACATGTATCTGTAAGTAGCTTTTCCTAAATAGCATTAATTAAACTCACACTTTTATTCATTCTTGAAAAATCGCAATAATAAATGCATTCAATAATTTCTGATTTTACAGTACATAATTGTTCGTTTATAAATCTTAAAAAATAGATATAATTAATTTATTCATCCCTTGTATTGCTGAATTTATAAGCAGGTACAGACTTAAACAAGAATGTTTCCATAGTACATGGATGCCCCACCCACACTATCATTTCCTATGTTCAGTGGACCATGAATTGGGGTCAAAACTCTAATTTGGCATTAAAATTAGAAAGATCATATTATAGGGAACATTTGTACTAAGTTTCAAGTTGATTGGACTTGAACTTCATTTAAAACTACCTTGACCAATAACTTTAACCTGAAGCAGGACAGACGGACGAATGAACGAATGAACAAACGGACAAACGGAGGAATGAACGGATGCACAGACCGAAAAACATAATGCCCCTAAGTGAGGCATAAAAATTGAGATAAGTAATACCTTGGAGGGTTGGCTTCTAACTCATGTAGTTTGTCTTCCATTTCCTTCTGTTGGGCTTGTAACTGATCATATTCCTACAAATGAATAGCAGCATGTTCATTGTATGACCAATAAAAACTAGACATCATTGAGATTGGAGCCATCTCTGTGGGCCCCACTGACCTTGAACTTTGACCTAGGAAGTTGTACAAACATTAATTATGACACACCCTCTGGTGTTGGTTAATATACATGTCAAGTATAAAGTATGAAATCATAATGGTTCTCTAGATATAGAGCGGACACAATTTGTTACGGACAGACGAACGGACAGACTGATCACTATAAGGCAACCCGCCACTAGGCGGGGCCCTAATTATAATAATAACATAAAAGCAAAAAATACCTTTAACACATAATAAGAATTGCAGACATATGCAATTTTTCTATCCAAGGTACAAAGGCCATTACTAAAAAAAAAAACTTTTTTTGTTCATTAAAACTTTTTATAAATATCTTAGAGAAATGAAAGCTTGCGAGCAATTACAACAATTTTCTATATAATTAATATTTCCAAGGGACATGACTCTTTTAAAAATAATTGATCGGCAGTAATTATTGAACTCGTCAAAGACATTGCTGATATAAACCTATGATTTAAGTTTTATAAAATTCTAGCAAGAGAGCACTTACACTGCAATTTTCCATATAAATAATGTTTCCAAGGAGCATAACACTTTTAAAAAAAATTGATTGGCACTGATTTTCGAACTCTTCCAAGACATTGCTGATATAAACCTATGATATAATTTTCATAAAAATCTGGAAAGAATTGTACACATGAGAGTGCTAACGATACAATTTTCCATACAATAAATGTTTCCAAGGGGCATAACTCTTGATCGACACTGATTTATTAACTTGTCTTAGACATTTCTGATATAAACCTATGATATAAGTTTCATAAAAATCTGGCAAGAATTGTACACATGAGAGCACTAACGATGCAATTTTACATATAATTAATGTTTCCAAGAGGCATAAAAATCTGGCAAGAATTGTACACTTCAGAGTGCTAACAAGACCGTACGGACAGACAGACGCCCGATATTTTTTATGTCCGCTGCAACACGCTGTGCAGGGGAAAATAATTTCTCCTTTTCTTGTACCTGTATTTGATGTTTAGCAACTTGTGGGGTTGGTGTTGTCTAGTCTGTAGTTTCTAGTTGTGTTTTATAGACTATCATTTGTATTTTAAGTCATTTTTTGTCATGGCATTGTCAGTTTGTTTTTGACTTTAAGGTTTGAATATCCCTTTGGTATCTCTCACCTCTCTTTTGCAATTCTCTAAATAACTGAGTTAAAGGCTTTATTTAGGGTGGACAATATAAATTGTTGTTTTCCAAAATATTGTGAATTTGCCAACACAAAATGCTTTCCGAGCTGAAAGATTTGTTCATATCAAACAGGTATTCTGTTTTCATATTTAACATTACCCTAGAATATCTAGCATATGATCTGATTTGAAAGTTCTTTATACACAGGTTTCCAAGTTTTTCAAGTTTCAGATTTGACAGGTTCACTATGACAAGAAAATATACAAACCTTGCATGAGGCATCTAAATCCCTGAGTTTACTCTTTACAAGAAATTCCGCTGTTATATCACGTGGTGGTTTAACCTCAGAAGCTTCTTTCCATTGTCTGTGTAGTTCTTCTATTTTGTCTTTCAGTGACAACATCTGTTAAAAATAGTAACATTTTCAGTGTTATTTCAGATCTACAAGGCATGCACTAGGAAGTAAAAAGGGCATATGTGAAATACCTAGGTGATCTTACTTTTGTTAAAATAAGTCTGAGCAGAAGATATATTTCATAAGAAAATTTAATTTTTCTTGTTGTTGATGGGTCTATAAACAAAAATTAAACATTTTCTCCTTCAAAACACTTAGATTTTTATTCTTCCAGGGTATCCAATATTTTGAAATTGAAAAAAAAAGAAGATATTTAAGCTAAATTTATCACATTATTATTATGTCACTTATTGACTATTTGGCTTATGAGACACATATTTACAAAAATTAACATATCTGTAATATTGCACTAACCTAAAGTTTGCAATGGCAAAGATGAAGACGGATTGTACAAAGCAAGTAAAAATGTTACCAAAAACAAGGATATAGCTCATATTTTTATTGTTGGTTATTCATTTTATCAAACCTCGTCAGAATTGTGTCACAAACTATATTGTTTCCAAACTATATGAACTGATGACAGGAATTTGAAAATAAAATGATATAGAATCTATACCAAAAGTGTGATAACCAACACATTGTGTAGATATTCACCTTAACAACAATTAAGCCTGTTGGTAGATAACTGTCTCACTGACATTTTCTTATTTTCAAACAGATCAACCCAGTATTATATCTATAAACTTTTAACCCTGAGAATCTATCGCATAAAAAGCACTGTACCTGGTTCTGAGTCTTTTTTAACTTTTCCTGCATTTCTATGATATTTTTTTGATGTTCACACTGCTTTACTTTCACATGTTTTTCTTGCATTCTGAAAGAAAAAAAATAGCATCAAACTAAAACATGAGGTGTTATGTGAACATATATAGTATTGATACATGTCTATTGTTTATGACCTTATGTTGACATCCAGATGTTTTTTCTGTTTGTTGTGTTGCTGTATACTGTTCCATTAGTCTACACTACACATCTTTTTTCATTCACATATAAAAAATAAACCAAACTGCTGAAATTTTAACTTTAAAATACATGATTTGCTTCCAAAAAAATCTTTCAACTACTAGGTACATGTAAAATTGAATGTAATAAGTATTATTCTTATAATATAACTGGTGCCCCTAGCGGAACAGGATCTGCTTACCTCTCTTAAACACCTTAATTCACATAGGGTACTACATGTATGTCAAAATGAAACAAAACGTCAATAAAAGATGCTAGAATTATAATTGCAATCAAAAGCAGATGTCATCCAGAAATCTTTCCATGACATCGACAGCCATTTTGAAAACTGCAGTCTGATGGCACATATATATATATATAACAGGTCAAGTTAATACTGTAAAATTTCATAAAGATTCAAAACATTTTTTCATTTTTTTCATATGTTTGCTGTTTCCATAGAAATAGAGCCATTTCTAAAATTCCAAAGATGGATGGCACATTTACTCATAACAAATAACATTTCTACAAAGCGTCATTAGATTTGGAACATTTTTTCCATTTTTCACATTATTGCTGTCTCCATGGCAATGGCAGGAACTTTCAGAAATTCAAAAGTCAGGTGCACATGGGGGTTAACATTATGGTATAATTTCATCAAGATGGATTCATCAGACTGACTAAAACCAGCCCCCACTATCCACTTGCGTTTGTAGTTGACAGGAATTTGAAATACTTGCTGGTTTGAGTCAGACTGGATTCATTCAACTCCAAGAACTAGCAATGACAAAAAGTGTGGAAGAAAATGAAAAAAAAAATATGTACAATAACATAGAAATACAAAGGATATGAGGTATCCATCCATGACACAAAACCAGGCATGGGTTAATGCAAATTTGTAATTGTAATGCATGGTAATGCATTACATTTTTCCAAGTAACTGCAATGCAGCAATTTGTGCATTACATGTAATTGTAATATAATGCATTACTTTAGCAAAAAGTTGTGTAATTTCATGCATTACATGGCATTACATGTCATTACTTTTTTCACATACTACATCTTTAACATATTGTTGGAGTTTTAACTAAACCAAATTTAAGATTTTTTGATTAACTAAGAATACGTAAATCATTAGAATATATTCTTTATTTCATCTTATTTCATACATTTCCCTGCATAAAAAGATTGATATTTGAAAAGCATAACTGTATTGTTGTCATTAGATCAAAAATATCTTGTCTTGCTTAAATAAAAGATAATTAAACTTTGTTATAAAACACTAATTAGTTTGCTTTACAATCAATACTTTCACCATTTAGACAATTGTTCATTAATTAAGGTATATATATGTTTATTTTATAATTAGGGAAGTAATTCACAGTAATTAAATATTTCGTTTAAAATTAAAAAAAACAACAAAAAGTATATTTATAAAAGTAAAGTCAACATTAAGTTAAAATAATTAAAATTGTAAAGGTCGAATTAAATAGACTTTTTACATGTATACTTATATTCAATTCATGGAACAGTTACTGCATATGCTAGAATCTTTTGTGACTTCTAGTATTTTTTTCAAAATGTTCAATTTTTCTATTCACTTAATAAAATTTTTAAATGTAATGTGTAATTCATGGCATTACTTTGCAAAAGTAATTGTAATATAATGCATTACTTTGATAAATGCATGTAATTGTAATTGTAATATAATGCATGGTATGGTCAAAGTAATTGTAATATAATGCATTACATTGCAATGTAATTCGCCCCATGCCTGCACAAAACCAGTACATGCACAGCAAAAAAACTAACATAAAGCAAAGGAACAGTGCTTTTATTGCTGTTCTTCATCTCATAGTCACAATGAGGCCTTCAACATGGAGCAAAAAATACATGTTTTGTTCGGCCTGACATAAATTTGGGATATTCATACAAGCCTCCCCCTCCCCCTTTCTTCTAAGAAAATGTCTCTCCATTTTTTCTGAGGTTTTCATGACTGGAACCCTTCATCCAAATTGGAATGGAATCTGAAGAAAAATTAAGAGACTATTCTGGCGATAACATATAGTGATGATAGTCGAAAGGGTAAAAAAGACATAATATCCTCTTATGGAATTCAACAAAACACACCATAATAAATAAAGCTGTATAAAAAATATGACATCAACTACAACACAAATCTAACTAACCTGATAACTACTTCTAATGCCTGACCAAGGGATGCTGGTTTTCCATTTACCAAATTAAAGTCCATCTGATGTGATAAATAAGATGTAGCCTCTAAAAGTCTGTTAAATTCTCTTTCAACCATTTCATCTTTATCTTTTGGCACCTTGAAATGAACACACAGGCAAATCATTTATATCTTCATTTAAGAACAACTTGAAATCTCTATTGGAAATATACCTTTCATAAATTCTAGTTTAAAAAAGTGATATTTGCACAAATAATATCAAATGAACATATTTTGATGACATATCGGATAAGACTGCATACCATACATAAAAGGTGCCACAAAAATCACTCTTTCTTTTCTCAGAGTAACCCTTATATTTTTTCCCTGTCAAAGAATACCAACTAAATATACAGAGAGAGATTTCAGAATAATTCACTCACAAATGACTCACATTACTTTCACTGTTATAAATCACCACTAAAACTGTTATTTTGCCTAAATCAACTTGTGAAATGAATGGGCTTTTTACTGTTCAAATGGTTCAAAGAAAGCCATGTTATGAGACACAAACACCTGATTTTAAGCCAACAAGTCATTGCTTGGACTAAATATCAGGTTTAACCTGATAATCAAAGAACCAGTTCCAATTTTGAAATCTTCAGTTGAAAATACCTTAGACTGGATCAAAATCTTTTATCAGTATTAGCTGTTCTGTAATTCAATGACAGTCAGCATATACTGATTACATCAATAAATATTTTGAGAAATATGAAAAGACCAGAAAGTAAGTTTTTTTATATGCCTATCCATTTTTGTTATTAAACAGAAGAAAATAGCATGATGATATCTCTCGCTGACTTACAGTTCCACCACTGGTTTCATACAATGGACATTTCTGTTTAATTTTATGTAGTTCCATGTTGATTTGTCGACTTAATACTGTAACTGGGTTACCACCTTAAAAATAAAGTAATCAAATACATTCTCCTTCTTCATTGTGCAGTAAGTTTTTTGTACTTATACAGAACTGAAGTAAGTGGACATAATTAAAAAAAACTTGCTCTGACCTTAAGTCATTAAGCATTCAGTAAAATTGACCATTATTTTCCAATCTGTTTTCCTAATAAAAGATTATGATGAAAGGTTACACTTTTGTAATTTTAATCTTTAAAAATCGTGTCACAATTGGTATTAACCATATATTCTTTTTGATATCTTTACAATTATGAAAATAATTTTACAAAAAATCCATATAGCAGCACAAAGTAAATTTATGCATACCATGATAATCTATGGTTTTATCACCAGCATATTAATCTAATTTTTCCATGCAAAATAAATTACCAAAATAGCTCAGGGATCTGCTGAATTCACAACTCATATTTTTTTCTTTCAAAGTTATGTAAAAAAGCTTTCTTAATACCGTTATACAATACAATTATTCATCAACAAGATTTCATAGTCACCTAGTCCAGTAACAACCATGGCCCCTAAATCAGCGACATAGTTCCCTTTACGGAATGTAGCAATTCTTCCACCAACTCTATCCTACAATTAATTAAAAATATATTTGATATTGTATGAAAATATAAAAATAACAAAGTTATCTGATCGCTACATGAACCTGTTGTTAAATCAAAATTGTACACAATGAAAAGCTGGTTTAAGCCTATTTAATATTCCTGCAGTAATAGTATCATATTGTTCATTTATAGGCATTTGATGAATCATTTGTCTTTTAAAGTCACTCAACATTTTTATAAATATTTTGCTTGTAACTTCTGGGCTGAGTGAAGATCAGATAAGTGTTTCTTTAGTTCGTTAGTGGTTTTTGTATGTCTGCAAATTAAATTTTTTTATCTTTGAAGCATCACATCCTTGAAAAAATTTCTAGTCTACAATATTTTATTTTACTATTGTATTTTTTATTGTTACCCCGTAATTAGGTCTCAACCTGAACAAGCATGAAATATTTGTCACTGAACATAAAGCAAACATCAGTTGAAATAATCATAGAATTTTTATGCACCTGTCCTAAGTCAGGAGCCTGTTGTTCAGTGGTTGTCGTTTGTTGGTGTGGTTCATAAGTGTTTCTCGTTTCTTATATAGATTAGACCGTTGGTTTTCCTGTTTGAATAGTTTTACACTAGTCATTTTGGGGCCCTTTATAGCTTGATGTTCGGTGTGAGCCAAGGCTCCGTGTTGAAGGCCATACTTTGACCTATAATTGTTTACTTTTTACACATTGTGACTTGGATGGATAGTTGTCTCATTGGCACTCATACCACTTCTTCTTATTTATATGATAAAATTGAGAATGGAACCTACTCTAGCCTCTAAAACTACAACTTCCATTCCAAAGGACATTAGTTGTCTAGCAGCTGCTAATCCAGCAATACCAGCTCCTATAATAATCACTCTTCCATGCTTTTTGGCTATAAAAATAAATGCATATGTTTTTTACATATCTTTTCTTGGTTTTTTTCAAATTCTATATTTCAGTTGATTCAGAAATCAGTATATAAATGACATAAGCACAGCACTAGCTATAATTAATTACACTTTAATACAATATAGTTAGTCTCAAGTTTTCAAGAGATAAAAGTTGTCTCCCATTTTCAAATAAAAGTTTGTTGCTATTTATGTCAACTTATTTTTTTTTTTTTTTTTTTTTATTTAAGTAAAAACAAGCCAGCAGACATTTTTTTCATATGCACTGATATCAATTTATTAAAGACAACAAACACCAGCATACAAATGGCATAAAAGAGTTTCATTTTTCTAACTTTCATACTTACAAGGTAAAGGCTTTAATCTTTTGAAGACTCCAAAATTGATGAATCCAAATCTTTCAAGGTAAGCATGTACTCTCATTACCAGTGGACCATCACCTAAAATATTATATAAACAACATTTCTTCTTAGTATATCTGATTAAAGTTCTGGTGCACGTGAGCAGCAGCAAAAACATGATTTTTCATTTCCATATATCTGTTAGAAAGTTGTCCTTATCTTTTTGTATTGTAAATCTAATATTTCGACTGTATTATAAAATAAATTCAGCATAACTCTGCACAACACAAGTATTTTTCGGAACCTCTGTCTTGGATTTCAGATTTGTACCTTTTTGGAATGAAAATAAATGAGAGTTTTAAAACTTGTTATAATCAATGACCAGCTTATTTATTCATAATCTATACCATTTTTCTACCTTTGATGTTACTTTTGCTGTTTGAGCATAGTTGTACAATTTTACGCTGAATAAGCAATTTTCTAGTCATTTGGTATACTAATCTGGGGAAGTGAAGTCTCAAATGTTGATATTTGTATACTTGTACATACTATTATATGGAGGTTCTATCTGGGGAAGTGAAGTCTCAAATGTTGATATTTGTATACTTGTACATACTATTATATGGAGGTTCTATCTGCGGAAGTGCATTCTCAAATGTGACTTGTTGTTTAGGATTATCTAACCACAACTGAAGCTGAAAGAGAAATATATTATTTTTTATAAATAAAACTTTAAACAGTAATTGTTTTTTTCTGTAAACCTTTTTACACTTACGTTTAGCATGTTCACAGATAATTTTGCTTCCAAATAAAACTAGAGGCTCTAAAGAGCCTGTGTCGCTCACCTAGGTCTATGTGCATATTCAACAATGGACTCTCTCCAACATTGTAGACAATAATTCATGACAAAACTCTCTTTTTTATTGATTTTGTATTGCTGATCATTTTGTCTGTTTAGTTTCTCTCTATCTTCTTTATTTTTTGCTAATACACAAAAGAGGGTAAAAAAATCCTCATTGAAGGCAATAACTCCTATGAAGAGTGACAGCCTGCTAACTATATTGGCAAAATTTGACTTGTTGGTGGATCGTGCATTGCTGATCATTTTTGTCATTTAAAGTTTCTATTTATCCATTATAATTTTTTTCATATAAGGCAAAACACAAAAAATTGGTAAAAATCGTCATTAAAAGGCAATAACTCCAATAAGGAGTCATTTGAAAATTTCCTCCATATTGTCTTAAATGTAGATCTTGTCTTGCTGATTATATTTTCTTATTTAAGTTTCTATCTGTCTATTATAAATTTAAGATAAAAGGCAAAAACGCAAAATGATTTGACCATGCATACTTATTCATAGATTCTGTCTTTCCTATCATTTTTGCAACTTAAAAGTTTCTCTCTTTCTATTATAGTTTTCAAGATGATAGGCAAAAATGAAAATAAATGGTAAAATTTGTCATTTAAGGACAATAACTCCTACAAGAAGTTGCCTGACAGTTTTGACGTCAAAAAACAATTGGTAGAGCTCAACATTTTGAACATATTTCTTTGTCAGATTTTCTCTATTTATAACGGTTTTCAAAATAATAAACAAAACTTGCATTTTACCATTATGTTCTATTTTTATCTATGTCGGCCATCTTGGTTGGCAGGCTGTGGACACATTTTTTAAACTGGATACCCTAATGGTAAGTGTGGCCAAGTTTGGTTAAATTTGGTCCAGAAGTTTCAGAGGAGAAGATTTTTGTAAAAGTAACGGGACGACAATGACGGATGCCAAGTGATGAGAAAAGCTCACTTGGACCTTTGGGCCAGGTGAGCTAAAAAAGGAACCAATTGCAAGAATATAAATATTTTCAAAACTAACATGTTAAAATTTGTGTTTAGTAATTTAAACAAAAACTAAAATATTTATTACTCTAGATCTTAAGATAGGAAACACAAAGCATCAGTTTTAAATTTGCCTTTTTGTAATAAATTCTTAAATAAGTTATCATAATAAATGTTTGATCAACATGATCATATCAGCTTTTTAGTATTTCATGGGAATCAAGCATCTGAGTAGTAAGCATGGTAAGTTTATATAACTCTGAAATATTTGTTGAAGATTTGATTTTTATTTAAGACCATTGTACAAACTTACTATTCTGTTTCTAAGGTATAAGAAAACTTTCTGTGACTGTGGAGGACCCTGAACAATGTCTGGAAAACATGCAGCCTCTTGTGATGTCATCTTATCAAAGGGGACACGACTCTGGAATGCTGCTCCCTCAAGACCTGTAGCAGAAATTATAGACAAAATGTGATATCAGATCACCATATATACAAGTGATGTTTGGAAATGGTATTTCAGTAGCAAGATAAAATTGGAAATACAACATGACTTGCATAAATTTAATATTTTAGGAAGATGGTAAAGAAAAACGCAAGTATAAAACCAGGTTAAGCCCTAGAAAAAGGGAAATGTCAATAGTATTTACAGTATACAAGGTATATATTAAGAAATTGGTACAATGGGGAAATTGATAGCATCACATATATATGACAGACCTTTTAATAACATGTTGAGAATGGTTCAGACTAGGTCGAGCATGGTTCAGACTTAGTTGAGAATAGTTCAGACACTTACAAAATGGTTAAGTTCTGGTCTAGTAAAGGTCGAGAACAGGTTTAGACTGTTAAGTATGGTTCCGACTACAGTCGGTTAATATGGAGTACACCAATTCAGACTGGTCGAGTAAAAATCAGTACAGTCGAGTACAGATAAAGACCATTTCAGACTTTTACTGGTTTATAGTGCATATAGATGATATTTCAATTTTGCAGAGTCTTATTGTCCAAAAATAAATAGTGGCAGTGCTTTCAATGTCAGGCTCAATTTCTGAGCACAGTGTTACCTAAAAGATCATCATTTCTACCAATGTTATCAGAGATGACTTCCACTAACATAATCTGGCTTGTTGAAGTCTGTTGGTTTTAATTTCTGATTTGAAAAGAACAGCATACATCATGTACATTTAGTTTCCCTAATGATAATATTTAATCATATTCATTGTCTAACATACCTACATTTATATGTTATTTTTGCATTGAGTTTTATTTGCTGTTAAAAATTTTGGTCTTAGAATGGGCAGTTAAATCAGTGTTCAATTTTACAGCTGTGTACAACACATTTTAATAGACAGTGAAATTTTTGTTTAGAATAAATTTCCTGGTTGATTGCATACAATGAAAATTAGACACAAGCAAAAACTTCCACACATTTGGTTATCTTGAAATGATTGTCGAAATTCTTTCCTGATTTGAAAGATACACTAGCATTATAGTTACAGGATTGTCGGTTTTCCTATCGAAGGTCGTGGTTTTCTCCCGGCACTCTGGCTTCCTCCACCAATAAAAACTGGCCGCCACGAAATAACCCAAAAGCGGTGCTTAAAAGTGGCATTAAAAACACAAAAATCAAATCAAATCATTATAGTTACCTGTAGGGTCATCATTTTCACTAACATTATCTGGAATTTCTGGATCAGTTTCTGATTTGACTGGAGCAGGTTTTTCTACTTTCTCTTTCACTTCCTTTACTTCTTTCACATCTTTAACTTCTTTCTCCACTGTTTTGTCTTTCTTTTCTTCTTCAGAGTAATATTCATCTTCAGATATGTTAGCCAACTGTTCATCCATTTCTTTGTATTCAACCTAAAGAAAAATTCATAAATACATGTACATGTACAGTGTATATAAAAATACAAAAAGCAAACTATCAACATACAGATCTTAAAACAAAGAAGCAGATTGAATAACTATCAAACTACATGTATATAGGGTTCACCTTCCTAGAAATAGCATGAGTTTATATATATATATATATATATATATATATATATATATATATAAATTGCGGTTTTTATCCAACACAATCATAGGTTTGAACGTTGTTTTCAATTTAGACTTGTATATATATAGATTCTACCACTGCATCGAGTGTGATACGATATTTTTCCACTCGAGACAGTTAAATTTTGAAATTTAAAACGCTAGGCTCGCCAAGCGTTTTTAAATATTTAAAATTAAACTGTCGAGAGTGGATAAATATCGTATTACACGAGATTTGGTGGTGAAATCTGTTTCTCTAATGATTTTCAAACAATACGCAGGCACATTTATTCCTTCTTTTCGAATGATCTGCAAAAAGATGTGTTCTTTCTATGTGACGTCATCAGGCATGGTCGCCTTTGTTCATGCCGTCACAATAGGAAATTCAGAGGAAAGCAAGAAAATTCGACGTCATAATCGGATTTAAACCAATGAAGAACTGAGAACAAACGAACCACACGTTGATTAAATTTTTTTTATACAATGGGTGCAGAAAGGGATAAATTGACGAAGAATTAGAGAAATATATATATCTGTTTGTATACGTAGTTACTACATACTTAACATGATTAACAATGATTAATGTTTGTCTACATCTGACATACATGTACAGTACATGCAATGTGATTCAAATAAAATTCAATATTGGTGGAGAATTTTTCAAAGGAAATGCTAACGATTGTATGTCCCTCACTCTTTAATATCTCTCAGTAGATGCAATAGGTATTCCATGACAGGGTTCCAAATAAGAAATATCAATGAATAAAGAATATACCAAGGAATCACTTTGTTTCACTGAGATTCACTCAACACCACTCAACTGAAAGAGAGTTTTACCTAAATCAACTTGTTTAATATATAGCATGTATAGAAAAGAAAGGATATGGGGTATACATCCATCATTGTCAATGAGCATGATGAGTTTTTGACACAAAATCAGTACAAGCACAGCAAGGTTTTCTTGTTTGAATTGTTTTACATTTTGTTATCATATGTCAGGGCCTGTTATAGCTTGCTTGGGCCATAAAAAAGAATAGGTCGGTTTGCCCTAACCCGACCGACCCATAAAAAAGCACCAGAGTCAAAATCTTTTTTTAATCAAAATTCGCGATGTGTTTTTTTTGGCGGAGTTTTGTCGTATCCGTATCCGTCTTCAGTTTGTTGCATAGAATAACCTGATCCGATCTGACCGCGCTTTATCACAGGACAATTTGTGTTATGTATTAAAGCCTCCAATTGATACGGATGAAAAACAACATGTTACCGTCTAGTACAAATAAAGGTTGGATTAAAATCAAACCCTGTAGTTTCCAACAAATTCTATCGTTTTGAAAACGCAAAAACATGGAAAGAGGTGTTTGATAGAGTGTGTGATGACGATTTCATGCTACAAAACTGATGAAATTTGTGTGACTGTCTCTGACTGTTGAGCCCGATTTTGAGGAACCAATCCAAGTTGTTCAGGAATTTGATTCAGCATTAAAATTTGATTAAAATGATATTATTCTGACAGAAGTTCTGTCAACAGTGTTTTGTTCAAGTGTTTTGTATTTGAATTTTGTATTCAAATAAACTTCTTCTTAGTATGAGCCTCCTTTAATTAGGAGACCCTCCAAATATATATGGAGTTTTTCCTTAACTTAAAAATTTTAAAGAATAAAATAAAAACGTTTTTTCCAACATATGTACAGCACATATAAATATAAAACAATAAAAGTATCATGCATGGCATATTTACAGGGACCTTTTTATTAATTATTTAATTTCATTTTCATAGCTTTTAATATTTGTCCAGAGCTTCTTTACATTTCTTACAATTGTTATATGACAGACTCTGTGTCGGTATATATATATGTCACTTATGATAATCACTATTTTCATTTGTTTGTCATTTCCTCCATTTTGAGATATATGTATATATATAGGTATGTGCAAATTCAGCAATATATGTCTTGCTATTTGTTGTCCATAATTTTCAATCTTTCTATATGCATTTGGAATAACATATTTCTGGTTTTGTTTTCAATATTTTCCTAGAATTTTTCACAGTTATTAAACAGCTCCTTATATTTTGAACAGTCTATAAGCAATTGCACTATCACAGTTTTGTTCGTGAAGGTGCAGTTCCATTTTGTAGGTGTGATTTTATCAGTGATCTCTTTTCTTATTTCAGGGAAATATTTTTCTCTAGTAGTACTGAGTATAAACTCGTTTAAAATGTGTGTCTGTATTTACAATGTAAACATTCAGAAAAAAGTGTGAACATTGAGGTGGAATGCTGAAAAAAAACTGTTAATAGAAAAGATCTTTATACTACTGTACATATAGATCCTGGCATATATTTGTCTGACAATTTATACAAAACTCTATAATAGTCTTTCATTTTGAAAGTTGTTTACAAGGTAAAATAATTTGTTCCCCTTTTTTTCTCTTAAGTAAAAAAAAGAAAGAATTTCCCTATCTACCTACCCACACATGAGACTGGTGGGTAGGGTTTGGGCAAACAGAAATATTTTTAAGTCTGGCCTAGTGGTTCCCCATAAACTGACCTAATCACAAACTAATACATGTAAAATAAGCAAAAGTTTCAAAGTCAATAGACCATGACTGAGGGGGTGGGGCCAAATATTTTCCATGGAAATGAGATGTGCTAATGCTTATACAACTGCATACCTAATATGATTGACCTACCAATTGTGGTTCACCATAAACTAGACCTAATCACAAACTAATACATTGTTCATGTTGTTGACGACGCCACCGCCGCCACCGGAAACAGCATACCTACGTCTCGCTTTTTGACTCCGTCAAGGCGAGACAAAAATTACTTCCTTAGTAACAACATGAACAAGAATCAATATTGTTTCACTACTTTTAATTTTGAAGAAAGTAAGACTGTTTAACATACATGTACATTGTAGCTACATTTGTCATGTTTGTAGCTAAAAGACTTCACCTCTTTTAGCTGTAATACCTGCCTCATATTACTGTTTTTACATGTATTAAGAGTATACACAATAGATCTGGCTGAATTAATGTGGGAAAATCAGTTTAGGGTTAAATGAGTCTGCAATGTTTCATATTGCACTTTATACTGTAATACTTTTGAATCATATCGTTACCAGAAAACTTAACTATTCTAGAGGCTGATTTTTTAGGTCATTTACATGCGTCAACTGACAAGGTCATTGCATCTGATTGACATTTTTGAAGTATCTGTCTCTATTTCTATGTACATTATTCAACATTACATACAGAAATATATAAATTTTGACATTAACATCCTACATCTATGATTTGAGCAGTGACATGGAAATTATCCAACAAAAGTAATTCATCACTTTTTTTTGCTCAATGTACTGACAGATTTTATCCCAAACAAATGCAAAAATGATGTAATATAACATTGTCTAAAACCAATCATAAGTACTGAGAAACAGAAATTTGTTTTTAATAAAAATCAAAGGGGGATAATTTGACAGTTTCTTGACTCAAGACTTGAGCAAGTTGAGCTGATTTAAATCTGCAGATGCAATCAAAAGTTGAGAGTACCTGCTCAATAACTATAATTCAAGTTTGATTATCGTTTCAATGTTTCTTTTTGAAGTTGTGACAAACATGTCTTAAATAAAAAATACTATGGTCGGCGAGAACTACATGTATTTTTCTGGCCGCATCGATGCTGTTGTATAACATGCACGCAAAAACCGCATGCAGGTTACAAAATGTTTAACAATTACTTTTGCTTTTTTTCGTCTACTTGCTCTTCTACTATTGTCGCTGTCTTCGTCTTCTTCTGTGTTCAATGATTTCTTTTTATCATCCATATCCCAAACGAGTAAAGGAAAAAAAAAAACGCTACAAACACAAACAACAAAGAATCGGAACCGGAAATGAATAATTTGCGTTCTGAAAAATTACGTAGCTGACAGTTGCGTTCGAAAACAACAGTGTAATAACTCTGTAGAATGTAGCACCAAGATGAGCGTTACTTTGTATAAGGTTTTTAGAGAAGTAGTGGAATAAAAAAAAATGTTAACAATATTAATTTTAACTGAGATTAAAGATCAAAGGAAATGTCTCAACTTTCATAAATTGATATGAAAAACTGGGTAGGTCTTTTCACCGCCGAACACCACCGAACTCCACCGAACACCGCAAAACACCGCCGAACACCCCAACAGTGATTTAAAACTATGGAAAAAAACAATAATGTGTTACAATTAAAGCAGAAAACTGTTGAATTTGTTGATTTTTTATTGCAATTTCAAAGAATAATTAAACGGAGAATACATACAGCGTTTGTGAAAGTCTGTTTATTATACATATGATTCAATGTCTATTTCAATATAATTATTTAAGGTATTTTTTTGGTTCTGGGCAGATGAATTCTTTTTTATTTTGTTCAATATATATATTTATGGATCTCCTGTAGTTGGTGATCGCAATACTGGTATACTAGTATTGTGCACAATACTGGTATAAACATTTTGTACCAGTATTGTATTCCAGTATTGTACCAGTATTGTGGGTTTTTTTTAAATAAACAATACATATATATAGGTAATTAATCTTTTATTAAAGGTGTCACATATACATGTATATGCATAATGATATTATCATATGACATGACAATTTTATATGGAAGGATTGCATGTTTAACTGATGATGCCATTGATGGTACACTAGCTGTGATTGTAATCAAAGAAAGTGTTAAATCTTCTGATGTTTTTTTCATAAGGGAACCGTACTGTCTCAGCATTTTAACAAACTCTTTACTTTCTTCTATGTTTTCTTCCAGCTCTCTATTTCCAAGTTTCAATAGTATATTTTAGTGAATTTTATATTGACATTAATGCTGTTATAGCTACTGTATCATCAGCATTGGTATTGTTTATTTCTTCTTCAGATGGCATTTCTGCAACCCCCACTTCCTATATTGATATTTATGCATTCAGTCTGTGGACTTTCTCTTACGCTTACTAGATTACAAGCTTGTTTAGATAACACCTGTACGGCTCTCTTACTGTAGGAGTGCTTGTCTAGTATTAGTATTTGAGTATTTGTACCAGTAGATATATCTGCTACAAATTGTATTGCCCATGGTTCTGAATCAACTGCTTTAACTACCCTTAACAATCATGTAGACAAACAAGTTAATTTGATTATAATCAGGTTCCCCTATTAAGCAACTTTTTATGTTTAATGGATATTGATATCTTTTATCATGTTTATTGTGAAAGATTGATAAGAAAATAAAGACAAACAAATGCTTAGAATCTTAGTATACATGTATTAAATATCTGTAAAAAATATACGATCGCATACATGTAAATGCTGAATTTACAGTGTTATAGTGTAACAATTTGCTTGAATTTATTAAATAATAACTCAGATAATAAAGCTTTATTTTTTTTTATCTAAATTGAATTAAATAAAATATAGAAATATGATAAAATTATTAGCAATTATTTATATAATTATCAATTGTTTGAATAAGATGAACTAATTACAATAATTTTTGTTTATTTGTACAAGTATAGTAATTATTTTTAACTGGTTGTTAATTGATTTCACAATTATCCTCTATAATCTTTTTGAGTTCATTTTAATCTCCCTTTGATCTTTAATATCTAATTTTGCTTAAATTTCATTTTTCATTCTACACCTTAAAGTATAGTGAACAATACAACTACAATACTGGTATATCAATAATGTACCAGTATTGTTGTTTTTAAAGAAAAAAGTCACAATACTGGTACAAAATTTTTATACCAGTATTGCGATCACCAACTACAGGAGATCCATATTTATGTCATTTTAGGGTCTGTTTTGTCATTCTGTAGTTCAATTTCGCCTTCCTGTTACTGCCTTAATTTCTAACAAACAAATAAAAGTTATATTTCTTTAAAAATATTTATTACAGTAATCTTGCATATATATTACAAAAATTTACAATATTAAAATCAGTTTTATTGTTCATCTCTTGGCTGTCCTTTCATTTGTCGGGCGTTTTCTTTGGCATGGCTTTTTGGCGATTGATTTAGCTTTGATGACCACTGAAAACTTTCCATCAAAAGAACTTATCATCTCTATTTTTTACAATGTTTTCAGCGACTCTTATTTTTTTTCGATGTAAATATTTGTTCTTATTTCCTTTTATTTGTTATCTTATTACTTCATTATTAAACCTATCAAACCTTCTATAACACTTGTTGAAACTCTTTACTAAATTATAACCAGTAGACAAAATAAATAGCAAAAAAATTTAAAAAAAAACTATGCTTCTTGTTCGGCGGTGTTTTACGGTGTTCAGTGTGGTCGGTTACTCTCCTATTCTGTACGATGTTAAAATTCGGTCTCATTTCCTTTTATTTGTTAATCTTTTTACTTAATTACAACAAAAGTTAAAATAAATTATAAAAAGATGATAAAAAAGTATAATTATGGGTGTTCGGCGGTGTTTTGCAGTGTTGATGACTGTTCTACTCTTTTGGGTGTTATATTAATTGGTCTCGTTTCCTTTTTATTTGTTAACCTTTTTACTAAAATACGTGAAATAGATAAGATAACATAATAAAATATTGTTTTTTTTTAAGTTATAGTTTTAGATTATTTTGGGGTGTTCGGTGGTGTGCGGTGGTGTTCGGCGGTGACAAGACCTACCGTGAAAAACTTAAGGAATTAAAGTATATATACATGTGTCTAAACATGTGACAACTTTATGACAGACATTCTCCATCGGATAACACGTGGTTATACAGGGCTAACTAACACCATAATATATAGATAATTCGTCTCAAATTCAGCCCAACAATGTTAGATGTTCAAATTCGTACGTCTAAACAAGAGACAACTCTCGTACGTCTAAACAAGTGACAACTCTACGACATATCCATCTATTGGGTCACCATTTAAGGTGATACACGGCTGAAACACATGTTATATTCATAATTACTCTAAATATCAGCACAACAATGTTAAATCTGCAAATTTGCGGAAGCAAATTTTTGTTCTTCCCTCGCCGGGATTCGAACTCATGCTATATTTGGGATATCGTGACAACAACGCCTGCACTGTGTCCAGCGTTCTAAACCATGCACTCGTCCATCTAGACTGAAATAAAAATTCATCTTTCGGTGGCCTAGTGTTACCATGCTTTCCTCTTCAGTAGAATCTAGAGTTGTAACACAGTACATGATATATTAGGTATGATTATATATCCATCAACCAGGTAGATCTACTTGAGAATTAATTCAAGTGAGTATTTCCTGTTGCTGAAGCTGGGACTATTATACTAACTGTTAGTATAATAGTCCCAGGCTGAAGTAAGTGAGAGCTGATAGAAAATGACACTTTTAAAAAGGAATGGAGGCGTTATAAGTTATTTGTTTAATTAATATCTAATCAGATGAGAAATAGAGACAGGACAATAATTTTTTTTTCGGTTTCTATTAACATCTTATATTTTTAGAGTTATTTCAATTTCATAATACTTTTTTTATTCTAACACTGAAAATGTCCCCCCTTCTATTAAGTGTAACTTTGAATAGTCCCAGGTTAGGAGGTGGAAGGGGGGGGGGGGGGAAGGGGGGGGGCACTCGCAAGCATGTTTGACCCCACCACATTCTGCATGTGCCTGTCCCAAGTCAATAATAAATTGATTCAAGTTTGTCACTAATATGGGGAACGACAAGAAGAAGTAAAATTGACATTCATGGCAACTACTGTGTATGAACATTAAGATGCACAATTTAACTATAATCCAGCAAAATGATATTGATATTAGTGCTTCTTGATATCTTAAAAAACAAGTGAGGTAAATTGTTAACAGCGTGCAATATATTGTTGAATAAAAAAAAAAAAAAAAAAGACAATAGTTCAACATATCTTTTTTTTTACAATTTTGAATAATCTGGTTATTCAATTTTGTTCTCTATTACTAATATGTGTCGAAAAGTCGTGCCATCTTATATCTTAATATGATCATTATACAATACACAATCACAAAAAAAACCAACAATACTGGAAGACAATACTGGAATAAATTTGTATACCACCAGTATACCAGTATTGCGATCGTCAAATTCAGGTAATCCTTATATTCACTGAGTTCTTTCGCATCTAATATATTTGTGGCAGCATTCGGTGAATATTATACAGAGTAATGCTGATCTTGATGCTACATATTATATGTGGAATTTTTAAACCCATCTGCCGTTGTCTCCTGCTAAACAATTTCGTGTCATCATGGTTCTCGATCATGTTTTGACATGAACTTAAACGGAATTTCTATTCTATAAATCGTAATGATGTTTAAGGGAAGGGGCCAGCCTGGGGTTCTTTTCACAAAAAATCTTACGATAAAAAATGTTCATGAATTACGAGTACTTTTTAAGATTTTTTGCGAAAAGAGTAGCTGTACTACATATTCAGCTCAATGAAGTCATACAGTAATTCCCACTTTAAGGAGATTGCAGACAATCGTTGATAAGAAGTTATCCAATTGAAAACAGACATCGTTTAACCATAGATGTATACATCTATGGTTTAACATATGTATGATGGTCGTCTGTAAGATTACCCTTCACCATCTAACGTCGTCAGATATTGGAAGAAATATTGGCCAGACATCGATCAGTAACCTATCGGCGAAAAAGAAATAATTTTTGAAATTATTACATACTTTATCAGATAAGGTTGAGGTAACACAATTTCTATAATATTTTAGCCCTTTTTTGCTATGTAAATTATATTTAAAAAAAAAAAAATCACTGATTATAATCATATTCCTTAATCTATTTATTCAAACAAAAAAAAATCGAATTTTAGACGCTTTTAACGATGGATAAGAAGTTCTATTATAGATAGGAGTATGAATAATATTTTCATACTAGAACAAGAAAATCACATAACTATCAAGAAAGAATTTGATAAACATTGCCGGAATGGCTTTGAGTGGGATCCCGTCTCTGGGATGGTGTTGAAGCTGGGGAAACTAGCTTTTGTATCTGTAGTCGGCTGTTATTGTACTACAAGATACGAACTGGTATGATTCGATACCGATATATGAGATATTGGGTTTTAGATAATGGATTGGAATATATCACAGTTCATTCACATCTAAGTCGGCAGTCCAATTCAATAAACATAAACAAATTGGTAAAGTCCAAATTCATTTATTAAAGTCCAAATATAAAATATCAGTGTTACAAATTAGTTATTTTAAACCAAACATAATATATCCAAACGGAGTCCTTGAATAAAAAATTATCTTTCTTTAAATACCAAGTAAAGTTGTTATAACAACATAGTGTGTTGGGGTCATGTTATAAACAGTAATTATATAATTAATTGAATTAATTTATCATAGAGAATTACGATAAGTTTGACTGGGTAAAGATCAATCCATCTATCAATTAAATTATGTGTGTATTTGATATGACCGGAGAAAAGTTGCAGAACGAACTTGTAAAATATGTATCTTAGCTTCAGGCTTTAAATGTTATATTGACACATTTACTATGATTAATCTAAAGTGACCGTTATGAAATAACACACTTTATGAAATGTGTTTACCAATGAATTTAATTGATTCTTTACAACCTTCATTCGAAGTCGCTTTACTGTAAAATATTCGTAAATTATAGATTGTCCGTTTTAACCAAAATAAAGTAAAATTAGTTTCCTCACATAACTATCATTTCGGAAAGTATCCACCTCAAAAGAAAGTTACAAATATTTTTTTTTTCACAAGCAATAGTACAATGGAACATGCCACCACAAGTTGTTGTACATGTATGTCTAACTATGGAATCCTTTCGTCTAAGAGAAAATATCGGCCATAAAACATTACTCAGTGCTCGAAACACCAATCTAGTGTTTTGATTGGTTGAATTCTGAGTCTGGGTACGATAATATAGGCTGGTCCTCTCCCTTGCAACATATGGGTATCTTAGAGCCAAACAGATAAAGGACAGGGGACCAGTCTAACGATACGATAATCGTACTCGAAATGTTTATGACCGCAAAGCCAGAAAAGGGTTTACATGTATAAGGTGATCGATGGGGCATAATTCGGATAAAAAAAATACTTCACATGGTGAATTATGCATACCATCATGATCAAGTATTCTACAAGGTTTGAAGTAAATCCAACAAATGTTGAAGAAATTAGTCCTGGCAGACAGGTTGACAATAGACGGACGGACAGACAGGCTGATTGCTATATACCCCAGCCCCAACTTTGGTAAGAATATAACCGGAAGAAATTTGACGTCAGGAACTTTTACTATAATTCGCAAAGTGCTTTATATGAACTCTCGGTTTTGCGTTTAAAATAATATTATAACCCCGTAAATTTCGGTACGGGTTACATTAATTTAAAGTCTGTTGGTCTATAATCGACACTGTGGCTGCTTTAAACACAAGGCCGTAAACAGTATATAGAAATTTATTCACAAGTGTACAGTTTGAAAGCTAGGGGAAGACTGCCCAAGCAACATATTACAAAACATAAATTAATTCAAAGTTAAGGGTCTTAAAACATTACAAAAGGTTCTCATAATATATAAATATTATTGTCCAATCTTATGCAATAATAATCGGATTATTGTCCTCCGGCTAAACTTATTATTTTTTTTTAGTAAAATGGCGATAATTGCTTCTTTTGTAGTTGAGTGTAAGTTACATGTATGATCTTTCGAATTTTTAACTGCCATCGGATTAATTGTAAATTACTGAAATCTGTAATCTATTTGTGTATTTGAAATAAAGAAACATTATATTTAAGAATAAAGAAACATTTCAAACAAGAAATATTCAATTTAAACTAAAACGAGAAACATTCAATCTAAAACGAGAGTTCATATAAAGCACTTTGCGAATTATAGTAAAAGTCCCAAAAAATTTACGGCACATGTGTGTGTGTGTGTGGGGGGGTCGAAAAACTAAATTAAAATTATTTACTACGGCAAATTTTAAGCAGCGCATTTTCTGTTTTGGTAATTGGTCAATGTTGGGATGATTAAATCTTGCTTTTCAGATAAATGCCTTCATATCATCTGAGCTTAATATATCATGTAAACTGTTCACATTTTAATCTCTTGAGACCAGCTAGTCATCACAGCTGGACTACTTTGCCTGTCATATTAAATTCTTCATATATGTAAAAACTGTAAAAACTTAGTTTAACACCTTTTTAATTTGAAAATGCTTGCTTCCTTATTATCTGAACGGTAGGACAAAGTGAAGGAAATTTTACATCAATGTGAAAGACTGCAAAATAAATACAAGCAATTTTTCTGAGCTAAGAGTAGAGTTGGCAGGACTGAAGTTGGAATAAAAGAGACAAAAAGAAGAGCCATAACCGTAGAAAGGCTGTTAAATGGAAATTGAACATTCTGGTTTCAAAGTGTATAACAATTTGAACAAACAACTGAGTCCTTCAATTGAAAATTAACCCCTTTTAATTGTTTTCTCCTCATATGATTGGATTGCATGACTTTTGCAAAGAAAAGTATTCCTTTATTACTAACAAGATTGATTTTGAACAATTGGGTAAAATTTCTTTATAGTATGCAAAGCTCTATTTTTTTTTGTATTCGAGAAGAATGTTTTTCTCAATCATATAGTAAAATATTTGATTTTGGAAAACTTTGATGATCGTGTGGAAGAAAGATATTGGGAATTGTATGAAAAACAGCATGAAAGTAGGATAGAGACTGTCGAACAGGCAGCCAGTGAAAAGAAATGATCGGCCATGAAAATGAAGAGCATATGGAAAGTGAAAGCAGTCAAGGTGAGAAGGGTGGAGTAGTCGCGAGTGGTGAGGACTGAGTAAAAGTAAGTTTTGAAAAGGTTTTGAAATTGTATGACAATGCATGTTTTTGCTTATAAATTGTATTGCATGTATAAATGTTATCAATATACACCAAATGTTGTTTTCCACTGATAGTAAGAAATTAAGGAATGGGGTGTGGGGATTTAGAATTTTAAAATTGATTCTTGGAGGGGGGGGGGGTAATTTCTTGGATTTTGGGTATTTTATTTTATTATTTTTCTAAAAAAAAGGGTTTTGGTGAAAAATTCCCTAATCCACAGCTGGTAAATAATGCCTAATCCCTAAGGAAAAGGAAAGGAAAGGAAAATGATTCATATCGTGGCACCCTTCAAATATAAAAAAAATTAAGGTATCATTAATCAGTAAACCTGATAATTATCATGATAAATAACTGATCGTTCCTGACTTTCTAATTTCTTTGTTATTTAAATGGATGAAATGTGATAAAAGCCAATCTGTCCCTAAAATTTCAAAAAAAAATTATAGAGAAATTATTCTATCCTTTAACAACTATGTTCAAGATGCGTATCAAGCATTATGCATTGGCCTTTAAAAAAGGAGAGATTATCGCAGGGCTGGATCAAGGTATTTTGAAAGGGGGCGTATGCCTGGCAGAGCGAGGCGAAAATATTTTTGGACGGATTTCATGTCAATTTTTTTTTTCGATCAAAAGAGGGGAGTAAACCCTCTACCATCAATTCCGCCATTGGGGATGAAACCAAGGGGCAACCAATTAACCACAAGTCGAAGAAAGGCAGACAAAATCACGACAAGAAAATAAGACCAAACGGCAAACAACACTCCACAAAACATAATTAAGGTCGACAACACATTTTAGAAGGATTCTCATATTTTGCCGATTTGAATGTACTAATTAATAATTTTGAAAAACTTCAACGCAACAAGATAAAATGTTTTCCGAATTTGCAACATTTTTCTGAAAATTTACGCTTTTATCATATTTCTTGAAAATTCCAGGATATCTATTTTTAAACCAACTGAAAATAAACACTTAATACTAGTACATTTCTGGAAAATTCAACACTTATTTAGGTCAAGGCAAACCTTTAAACTGGCACTTAAAACTATACAGGTAAGATTTTTTTCTTAATCAACTGTTCGGAAATACTCTTAAATTAAAAGTTCTCTGGAAAAAATCTTTATCATGTTTACCTTAAAGTTTGTACATCTTTCTGTCTATAACATGTATAACATGTGCATGGTGTAAGAGGGTCAGAATGGGGTTTACAGAATAGAGAATAAGAGACAAAAAGTTCAAAATAAAGGGCTAAAAATATAGAATAGTGTGGTGCTGAAATATAAAGAGTAGAGAATAATGGGCAAAATTTATAAAATTTATAAAGATTAGAGAAAAATGGTTTAACAAATTAAAGAATCCATAATTGAGGAACCCATAAATCCAGACCCTCAGATATAAAGCTTCGTCAAATACCATGATATTATGTCAAAATACAGTCACCGTTTGTAACTGTTCCATCGGGTGCGACACAAAGGTGGTCATGGTGGTGTTACTGAAAAGAACGAGAGTTGCTTTTGTTTCTTTTTTAGCAAAATTCTGCAGTTGCAATTGTAGATTGTGCATGGAACTCTAGGTTTATTGTTAAGAGATGAATTTCCAAGTCTCTGAGAGGAGTTGTTTTTGGAAAAAAAACATAACGAATATTGAACGTGTTTAATGATCCCAGAAAGATTTTTTCTCAGAAAGATGATGTTTTTTTCAGCTACTTGCATTATCGCAATTCATATAATTTTAGTTTTAGTGCACAAGGTACACCACGTTTTGATAGTCAATTGTCATGAATAAATATTTAAATGCATAATTATATACAGAATTCTACTTTTACTTTAACTTAGTCATATTTATTGAAAACGCCGACATTTTCAAAAAGTCCAAATTATGTGCAAAGATATTAGCTGTCTGTATCAGCGTGATATTTAAAGCCTTATATAGAGGTCAAAATTATTTTGTAAACATTGATATCCAGGTAAGATGAATTTCATTTTCAACTGAAATTTTTATTTTTATAAATCCTTAATTAAAAAAATATTGATATTTGAAAATCACGTCGTCTGCAATCATTTTTGGGGACGCGGGAATATAAAAACGAGAACTTGAAATTCACAGGAACGTACGCGGTTTTTTTTTCTCTCCAATGTATACTAACGCGTGGCAGAAAAGCCATATACCTTTTCTTGTCAAATTCATTTATTTAAACAAATAAATACATGTATAGGAAGATAGATAATAAAAACAGAATAAGAAATAGTTGCATATATAGATATAACGAACTTTAGTTCCTCAATAAGGGTAAAGGACGGAATTATTTTGGGAAAACAAAACGACTACTCTTTATGTGCCTGTAGTTCAGTAATTGTCGTTGGTACGTGTCTGTAATATTTGTTATTCGTAAATTGTTTATTTTTAAACAGGCCGTTAGTTGTTTCGTTTGAATTGTTTCACATTTTTCATGTCGGGGCCTTTTATAGCCGACTATACCGTGTATAGATGTTTCTCCTTGTTGAAAGCCCTACGGTGAATCTATAATTGCTTATATTGAATAATTTATTTGAACTCTGGTGGATAGTTGTCTCATTGGCAATCACACAATCTCTCCTTATTTCGATATTGAACGAAGTTACGTAATGCCAGGTAGAGGGAATCATTTTTTTTTTGTTTTAGTAGGGGAGACAAAAAAGTTGCACCGTTGTTGATTCTCAAGCAAATTTCTGTGCAGCCATTCGAGGTAAATTAAATTCGAAATTAACACACGTGTTTTATCTGAATTAGTGTTTCTATTTTATATATCTCCTAAAACTTAAAGGATATTGATATTTGAAATTTATATTATCTCCCCTCTGTTCTCTATCTCTTAGAATGAGAATTTCACCGAACCTTTACACCGGATTGTCCAATGTACTAAAGCATTGAAGAAAGGCCGTATGTTTTCTTCTTCTTGTCAAATTCATTTAGTAAAACAAGTGAATACATGATAATAAAAAAGTACGAAATATATTAAGAAACAGTTAAATGTAGATAAAACTTTTGTTCAACAATAAATGAAAATGTGGAGTTATTTTGGGAAAACACAAAACAAAACAAAAGTTATATGCATCGAGGTAATTATAAAACACCTTTTTTTTTTTTATCTGAACCAGTTATTATAAGAAACAATGTGTTTTTAATGATTTTTGTTTAAATTTCATAGTATGTGTCCAGATTTGGGAATCTTGTTATGTTATGGCCAAGTAGGTCTAGTCAAATCATTCGGGCCTGTAAATTAATGCATTGCGCAGTTGGGTTCGTGGGTATATTTTGTTAACAATTCAGGAAATTTATGGTCTACCTCTGCTACTTGGATGAAATTCATATTTTGTTAGTTTTAATAACGACACAAGGTAAATCATGTTTTGGCCGGCCATTATCATAATAAATATTTATCCGAATGGACTAATCAATGTAGTAACTTATTCAATGCTATTGAAATAAAGTCATGTCAAATGGATACAATATTTAATATAATTAAAAGAAAACATTATACCACATTTCTCTGAAAATCTTTTTTTTTTATCTGTGTTTGGGGAACTGTCTTTTTGATCCCTCATCTACATCTACTTTTACTTTGTTATATTTATAAGAAATGCCGATATTTTCAAAAAGTCAAACTAAAAGTTTAAAGATTCATCGATCACTTCATTATCAACATTCCGAAACATTTAAATCCTTAAGCTTGTTGAGGTCAAAATTGGTTTTCTATTAAATGTTACTGTATTACAATTTACACATTATACCGGTAAGACACATTTCATTTTCAAAATAAAAATATTTTATATATGTCCTTTACTTAAAAGATATTGATATTTCAAATTTATATTATCTCCC